TGCTTCTCCTTTAAATTACGCATCGCATGATATAATATTTTTTTCACTGTAGAACCACTTAAAAAATTTTTTTTGTTTTATCATAAAAAAAAAAAAAAAAAACAAACAGTACTCAAAGAGTATAAGTAGCAGCAGCTAGCACGCATTAGCGAGCTTGCAGATATGGTTCAGAAGTTCATTTGTTGCGGCTGATTAGCCACGTACATAACGCCTGAATTAACTCTACATTCATGGACGCGCGCGCGCGTGGACTAACTTTGCAACTCTCGACGAGCTAGTGTATCGAATTTAACTTGCGTCCCCGCAGCACTTTCAATCAACAAGACTTGTGAGCTTTAATTCCGCTCAGACCTTTTTTTTCTTGCCAAAACGAGTAATTCTCCTTCTTTTTAATTTTGATGTTTTTCTCAACACTTTGACCGTCCTCTGCAATAACGAGGCAATTAATCTAACAAACTAATTCGAACGAATGCATGAACGGAATAAGCCGATGCTTGGCTGCAAGTTGAAAGGTGGCGCGCTTCAATAATGTAATGCGAGTTCAAGGCAGAGCTTGCAGGATCCGCTTGACTGGCGGTGCCTATAATAAGCGCCAGGAGGTATTATTCGTGCAGAGCTGATTAGCTGCAAGCTCGTTGCGGCACTGCGCACTATTACGGTCAGTCCATCTGATTATGCGATGGCCACGAGTGAGGCTAAAGGTAAGTACGTCGCGGATGAGCTCGCAGGAGCTCGGGTTCGGGCGCATCAGCCGGAGCTTAGGCTCCGGGGCAAAGCGCGGCAAGCACCTTATCGGTGGAACTGACGAAGGCGAAGCGCGCAGTCGGCAAACGCGCACGAAAGCTCCCGGTCGTGGGCGTCTCGCGGACCAGCGCGATAGAAGCTTGCACAAGGGCTACTCGAGCGAACAGCGGGAAAGCTCGCGAGCGCAAGTATAAGCAGCGGCGGTCGCGTCCGGCTCCGTTGCATAGTCCGTGCGTAGCTGGGCATGCAGCATAAAGACGCAGGAGTATAACTACAAGCTCGTGCCGCCGCCGCCGCCGCTGCTGCAGCCGCACTGGTGTAGTACACGATCGAGCCGCAAGTCGTTGTGCCGCGCGCCCGACGCTCCCTGAAATATAGCAGTGCCGAGAGCTGCGGTCAAAGGGCGAAAGCTCGCAAGCTCGCGGATCGCTGCAGCCCCACACGTACTCGTGGGCGCAAAAAAGGACGGAGGGGGAGAGCGAGAGCGATTTCTGTATTATAGGGGCGCGCGCGCGCGCGCATAACCCATGGAAAATCGCGCAGCGGAAACTCGAGTATCGAAACTGCAGCAATCCTATCAACCTAATGCAACGATTATGCCAACTGCTCCTGACTTGTTTTTTTTTCGCAATGCCTTCGAGCTCTCTTAGCCATCGAGCAAAAAGTCTTTTACCGACCTATACACTCGACTCTTGGATGCCTAATAAATGTCACGTTGACTCTACTCGGACACTGCGTATCGATATATAATTGAAGCTTTACAGGGACGATTAATCATCGTCGCGCCAATCAACTGGCCACGCATAAATCGTAATGGTGCTTGGATGCGAAAAAAGCTCGGAAGCGAGGGAGGGAGGCGAGCTTTCACGAGCTCGCTGCTGCTGCGGCAGCATCTCGCTAAGTATATTATATATTACGAAGGAGTCCGCGCGCGCGACTGCTGCTACCGTCGCTGGCACGAATGCAAGTGGTAGTCGGTAGCATAACGCGTACGCCGTGCAGTAGCTGCAGCAGCTCGACCTGTGTCGTATACGACGCTGCGACGCGACAGTGCCGAGTGCGCGCCGTGCAGCAGCAGCAGTAGTAACCTTATCAGCAGCGGACATTTACTTATATTTGCACTCGTTTATGTTGTCGAGTCAAGCATGAGCGTAGTACGCTTATAGGCAAGTTCGCAGTTTTCTTCTATTAATTCGTCCAACCAAAGTACATCTACACATTGATACGCCAAGTACATAGGTGCGGGCCAGATTAGTAGTCGGATTGTACACGGGAAGGTTCGCGCTCCGGTGTATGTGTGTGTGTGCTTGTGTGAGCTGCTGCGCTTCGACACTTTGAGTGCATATTATATGTATCGCGCGCTGCATAGATCCCCGAGTACTTGCTTGGCGCGCTCGGTACTTATGTACCTATGTGCAGCCGCTGGCTTCGCACTTGGTGCTGCTCCGGCTTCCTCATGCCATAAATATAATATCCATTGTATTGTTACTGGGGTGAGCCAAGTTTTATCGTACGTGGCACGACATACAAATATGTGCATCAATCAGCCGCCGCGATCGTCGTGACTGCTTCGTCGTCGCGCAATCGTGTGCGGAGTAGTGTGTCGCGTATTATATACATTTTGCTGCGAAAAGCCAGCATTTCGCAGTAGCAGACTGCAGAACTCGGCGCAGAGCTCAGTTAGCTTAGGAGCAGCAGCAGCAGCAGCAGCAGCGTGCGCGCGTGTGTTGTGCGCGTCTTTCGAGTCTCGAGTCTCGCCTCGCGGCCGCGACACACTACACTACACTGGCTACAATACGTATATAGCCATACAGGCAATCGTAAACGTTCTTCCTATATACATACACCTCTATATACATACACACGTAGGAGTCTCTATGTGTGTAGTGGAGTCGAAGAAGGGCGGACTTGTGTGCTTTAGCTCTCTCGGCGCGGTGTGCCAGTGCTGGTGCTGCCTGAGCTCGCTCGAGACACACGCAGGAGAGGCAGTCCGCTGTGCTTGTGCCGCGCGACAGTCGACACACACCACGAGCCACACGTACTGATACAACGTTATATATATATATAACATCGTACACCGATAGCTATATACATACAGACACGCAGACAGCAGAAAGCCAAACGCGCGACGCATACGGAGCATCGTTTCGCTCCTGTACTGCAACGCACACAGCTCTCTCTCTCTCTCGCTCGCGAAAGAGTTGAGGTTAAGATTCGCGCGTTATATTACATATATAAAGCAAAAAACTCCGAGAGCCCCCGACTTAGAGACTCGACGCGGACGGCGGAGCTCCGTGCTGCTGACTTTCCGACCAACGTATATAAATGTGCTTCGTACACACATATTCGCGCGCGTCCACACACAGACGTAACGTACAACGGCACACGCACATACATACATGTATATAGATCGCTTTTAGCTAGTCGTCGTCGTCGTCGTCGTCGTAGTAGTCGTCGTCTCTCGCTCTCGCACATACAGCTTTCGACTCAACGAGCCCGAGAGTAGTCGAGCTTTCGACTCTTCGTGCGCTCGGATATACGTACATTCGTATACGAGGCGAGTATAAGCAGCAGCAGCAGCGACCGACACACTCCTACACTGACACCACATCGACTGCATAAATTATTATACTCGTATTTTCTCTACTTTTGCACTCATCTTTCTCTCTTTTCTTTATTTTTTTATCTCTCTTCCGACACACTTTTATACTGGACTCTGTACTTGTGGCGAGACTGCACTTGGAGAGAATCGCGCTGTGTGACACGCCGTTTTGCAGATTTACAACTTGGTCGCACGTAATTCTTTTCTCTCCCTCTCTTTATATATACACATCTCTCTTTCTCTCTAAAAAAAAGTGTGCGTGTGATTGTGCAGTGCGCCGTTCTTACGCTCCATCTATATTTTTGTGTGCTTTAAAGTTCCAATTTCCGTTCGTTCAACATTGGCAATAATCAAGAAAGCCTCGATTTAAAAAAAGCGTATATTAACAAGTGCATTGAGTCGAACAAGTGGAGCAAGTGCAGCATTACAGTTTACAGCAGAAGACGAAATAGAGAGAGAAAGAGAGAGAGAGAGGGTGAATTCGTAAGAACTATACAGATCTATCTGCGCGAAGGTAGCAGCTTCTGCTCGCTCTATTATAGCTGAACTGAGCTTTACAGTGAAATGAATTGTAATTGACATAAACAAAAAGTCGTGCCGAATGCAGCTGCTGCCTATATCCACCTCAAGAGAAAGAAAAAGAAGAATCGAAGTAGCCGAATAGTGGAACTCGCAGCAGCAGCATCAGCAGTAGCTTAATAATAACATACTGCAGCCGCAGCCGCAGTAGCAGCAGCAGCAGCAGCTACATTAGCAGAGCAGTAGCGACTACTGCAGAGTCTGTCGTAGTTGTCGTCGGATATAGTGAAGCAGCTCGACTAGAGAATATAGCGACGTCGTCTACTTGGCGAGAAGCATGAACGGGACTCGCCATCGGCAGTAGTCTTCGGACGCGACTTTCGTGCACACACCGTCTCTACAAGTGCACACGTACTTTCACGTATTTCTCGCAGACACACGCATACAGAAACAGACAGCCACACACACACACACACACATACACATGCGTACACGCGCATAGACACACACACAAGATTTGCATATACGCGCGCCCAGTGCACCGTCGTGTGTTATGTGCTGTGCATAATATAAAATGCTCTACGTGTAGTGGTCCCTCTGGCTTGCTCTATCTCGCTATATTCGTATCTATATCTTTCTATCTTATCCCATTTTCCTTTTTTTCTATTCGCCTCCCCCGCGTTCGCTTTGCCGCCCCCCTGGCCACCGCGCGCGCGACCCCCCTCGCTTCCCCTCCCGCTGTTTGCTGCCCCCTGCCCCCCCATCCCCCTCTCTCTCTCTCTCTCTCTCTCTTCTTCCGCACTTACATCGTTCTATGCCTCCTCCACACTCGAAATATACACACACACTCGCAAAACATACGCACTATGCTTCAACAAAGCAAATTTCAGTTTCGTTTTCCGTGTCATGAAGTACATTTAATGGTGCGCGAGTGACTTCACATTCGGAGCTTTACAGCGTTATATATACGTGTGATCCGTATATATATTGTGAAACTTTCGAAAGAGGGGTCACAACACATACATTCACACACGCAAGCGCGCGCGCATACATACATACTTGTGCAGCTTTCGAGCTTCGTTCTAACCGTGAATTTGACACACACATAATAATCATAAATATCTGTACATACGTTTATAAACACATTACGTGCATATGATTGTATGTACAATGTAAATATTAATGCAAGTCGTTTGTTTGTATACAAATTGCAGATTAGTGGGTGAGAGAAAAATTAATCAACGAGAGTGTGAGTCGTGCAGGTTCTGTGACAGTGCATATATAATAGAACATGACATGAAATCATCGCAGTATTTTTAAAAATCATCGCTAGTGACGTCGAGAAACTGAAAATCAAAGCGTATATCATCGCATTTGCAGTATACGCACTGTGATACACGCGTGTATAAGATTTGAGAGAGGCGTCGCACGCGCACCCATTGCTCGTCGTCGTCGTGTGTGAAACAGTGCGTGTGTGTGCGGGAGCAGGTGTATGTGCTTGTGCGAGTGTGTGCGTACAGTAGTATATCGCAAAAACCAACTGCTGCGAGCGTTTACAAGGGAAGAAGGAAGGAAGAGTCCGAGAGCTGCCGACAAGCAGAGGCAGCAGCAACAACAACCAGCAGCAAGATCGCCGCGCGACATCAAGGACTCGCTCGAAGCAGACGACAAGTTTATACATACATTGTATACATACAGCACTTATTATTATTCGCTCTTTCTGCCTGTCTCTCATTCTCTCTGCCTCGTTCTCGGCAATATCGCAACATAAATACGCGACTGGCTCTCAAAGTTTTTGCTTATACATATTTCGCGCTGTGGTATCATCGCGAGAAAGTGAGAAGCCGTGTGTCGCGCGTGTGTGTGCACAAGGTACAGAGAGAGAAGAGACAGCGGCACGCCGAGCACTGAAGCAGCCTCGCGACGTAGCTGCCGACAATTGTGTGTTTTAAAAACAACACCGACAATCAAGACGACGAAGGAACAAAAAAGAGATCGAGAAGCGGCAGCAGGATGAGCGCCAATAACTCCCAAAAGCTTTCCACGACAGACCGCGTGATAAAGAGTAAGTCATCTCGCAATTGCTTTCACATAATATATCATGTATACACACGTACGTACATTATTTACATCGCGTACATATAATTATCCTACACATGGAGAGGAACGCGCGAAATTGACACACAGACTCGCAGGCTCTTGTCGCGCGCGTCGCTCGACATACAGCACGCGCGTTATAGCCTATATAGCATGTGTGTGTGTAATCGCGCATATGGTGAATGTTGACGTTACTGGCGCGACTTGGCTTTATTTGCGTGGTGACCGCGCCGCCGACGTCGCCCTGCATGCACGCCAGTTGCCATGCTACGCCGTATATATGATATATAACGTATACGAGAGAGCGCGAGAGTCTCGTGCTGGGTCCAGATCGAATCAGCGCCGCTAATTTCGCGAGATAAGAGAGGCCGACTGTTAATTTATACACAGTAGCGTCGCGACTCACGCGAGGGCCGGAAAAAATGATAATGCTCGACCGGAGCCGATATAGAAATAACGCCTCCCACTCGTGACTACTACGTATCAAAGGAAAATAATATCAGCTCCGAAAATTCAGACTTGCTGTTGTGTGTCGGACTCGTCGCTCGTTGTTGTTCGGCTTGGGCTATATATACAATTTATATTATTGTACAAATTATCGTATACATGCGACGACGAGCAGCAAGTATATATGGAACTCGGGCAGACGCGCCACCTATAACCCCTCGAATACTTTGACACGCGCCTATATATAATAATACTCGGCGCTTCATTTTACGTATATTAACGTCTGTACACTTGTATAAATATGTTTATATACACATTGTAGCGTGTAACGTGACTACGAGTATATCGATGCCCAAAACAGGTATAAGCTCAACGCCAACGCGTGCCGCGCGTCTGCTAACTTATATACTAACATTTCTTATGGAGAGCATTGAGCAAGACATCCATAAAGAACCAACAGATGTGTATTATCTATGAATACGATATCTATATTCCACATTATAATCATGTCCATTACCTACGGGCCGTACGAGCCTACGACGACACGAGTTCGTACACCCATGTCTTTCGGTGCACATGTGCTTTACTTATAGTTATGTCAAAATGTAGATTTTAGATGGTCGCTAGCGCCAACTATATGCGTGCCCCTTTTCGGGGTGGCTATGCCTCTGCAACCCTTTTTTTCACTCTCCTCTCTTCTCTCTCGTTTATATTATATAGCAGTCCAAGGCATCCCGGGCTTCGAGTGTTTATCCATTTTTACGACTTCGATCTACGATGTTTTTTTATGGCGGCTCGGCTTTCGATCGTATAAACTTAAACTAAAAGAAAGAGTAAAAACAAGCGCGTCTGGATAACTTATTCATCGTACTAGTCAACGCCTTTTTTTCTCCTCTTTATGTACACATGGTGAGCTCCCGATCGCTCGACTTTTGATCGGCCCCAATATGTTTTCGATCGGACCGCTTGACAGATGCTATGGCTGGTCCACCCTCTCCATTTGTTACAGCAATGATTCGGGCAAAAATTCAACTATTTATGATCAGTCTGGTCATTTACTCGCGTATGAAAAAGCTCAGTCTCGCGCCTAAATAAATAATCCACCTCGCGAGCTGTAACATCGAAAAAAGTCTGTGCTCCTCCTGTCAATAAAAAGTAAGCTGTGTTTTTCCGTATATAGAAATGTATTTGCACTTGGATCAACTTATTAAAGTCAGAAACATGTGTGTGTGTGTGCAATGCTCACGAGTCTTTTTTGCGCCAGCATATAAATATGAGCGTATGCAAATGAACATATGCGCGTTAAACTTCAAAACGTAATTACAGAATTTTATACTTATTTTCCGATATTTTGAATTTTTCCCCGCGTACGAGGTGCCACTTTAAACGTTCGCTTGATGTTTGATAACTCTTAGCTCTAGAAAAGATTACATTTGCATAAATAAATAATGAATCTACGCTTTTCGTTCTAGCCGCTCGTTCGTTTCTACTCCGAGGAAATTACGAATCAACATTTGCACTTGTAAAATAATAAAATATAGCCGATAAAACTGGATTACAATGCGCGAGTGGTCTAAAAATCGTTACCATTTTAATGCTACTTTCAAGAAAATGTTTTAGATTTTATATTTACGCAATATAAGAAGTTTCCGATAAAAAATGTTTTTTCAGATACTTAAAACCATAAGTAAGGGTAAATATTCTTTTTACGATCTGAAAAAAATTTATTTCTTTAGCTCGGAGATTCTTGAAGTAAAAAAAAAATATTGTAGTACTGATAGAGGAAAAAATAGATTATATCTAATGCCACATGTTTGGTCACTTTGACTCAGTTGACAATTTACATGCATTTTTAAACATTCTTCATTCTTTTTCTCTCGATTTATATTTTATACCTTAGCTTTTGGTACAATTTTATCACAACTAGCTATTTTTACTAGATGAAAAATCAATTTTTTGTAAATACATACTGTAATGGTTTTTTTCTCTCTATATCATGTTTTTCTTTTTTTACACCTACTTCAAACAATCGTTTCCTTTCTCATTTTTTTCAGCATTTTAGTTTTGAGGTTATAATACTCAATCTCATTTTTCCATTTCTACATTTATTATTCACTTGAATGCATTGCGATCGTTTATTCTTTCATTTTTTTATAGCTGCAAAAGTATTGGTTTCAGTGTCAGTATTATTTCTACTTCTACTTTCACGATCGGTTTTATTTATTTCTTTTTCTTAATAATAATTCAAAAAAACTTAATTACTGATAAAACTAGTATTATTTGTTATATTTTTATTTCTCAAAAACTAAATCGATTTCGGTAGCACTCTAAAATTCATGAGCTATCTATGAAGTAGAATACAGCTTTACATTTATAGCTATAGTAATAAATTTAATTGTTCTGATCGTTCTTTTATCTCTATAAAAATTTTTGTTCGTAATTAGATTTGGAACTATAAAGTTATTCACCATAGTCTTTTTAGTAACAAAACTAACAAATCGAGTATCTTGTCGAAAAATATTCCAGCTTTAATTAAATAAATTTTTGGGAAAATACCCATAGTCTGCTTACTACGTAAATACATTCGATCAATTGAAGTGTGAACTAAATGCAATTGTTCCTCAACTGAATAATCTACGATTAAGAATAATCTCGCTTTTTTTATAATTTGTTTGATCCTTAAATATATATTTTATAGTAAAACTTTTCATTTCTATCTTTTTAAATTATATAATATTTTGAGATTTTTACTACAATAAGATTCTTCATAAAAATAATTTTTGTTGAGGATAAGATTAAATTCTTCGAAGATATACATAACCATCTCGTACTGTCATCAGTAATTACTTATACTTAATTTTGGAATTTTAAAAAGAAAAAAAGTCAGTTTACATGACCTTGTCGGTTCAACAAAGCTAGACGAAAAAGGAAGATACCTCGAAAAACTTTGAATTGCAGTTTTAGCCCACGTCCAACATCACTTGATTATGCATTATACCTATGCCATGGCTTTAGCTCTTATCATTTTTTTTTCATTTCCTGCCCTTGAATACATCGATAAATAAAGAGAAAGAGTAAAATGTGAAACAAGTGATCGAGTATATTTTTCCTTCGGAGCTTTTCAATTGTCATTTTGACATTTTTACTTATTGCTTGTAGTACTCGTTTCAATATTCATCGCAAGCGAAATTGAGATCGTCGTATAATAGATTCATTGTCTATAAATGTATGAATCAAAAAGTTTTATACATGTATTACTTTTTTCAAATCAAATTTGTTATTGTATTTTAAACATTAAAATGGTTCGATTATTGCAAGTAATTGTTTTCACAATGGGTAGAATATCAGTCATTCTTATATGACTTCATCTTTCTAATTTTGTAAGGAGCACTTTTTTTCAAAGTTTGTTTTATTGAAAGTTATAAACATCCTTGTTAATTTTTTATTGAAATTTTTAAAAAACCTCTTAAATTTTTATATCCATATGCTTTTATTCGTGTTTCAGTAAGGAATGTTCAAAATCACCATTATACCATTTTTCCCTAATCTAACTGTTGTAACCAAAGAGACTATCAATTGATTTTATTTGTATATCTGCTTTTGTGCACAAAGTAACGCCTTCGAGCCTTGATAAAAAAAACATGAAGGGGATCGAACATACTTTCATTTTTTAGGGGCTTAGAGTTAGGTAGGGTGAATCGTAATTCTCAGAAGCGTGATATGTGCGTATAAAATTGTTTTTTTTTGCTTGTGGTAGTTAGCTGTGTAATGCCTTTCATTCACTTGATTAATTTAGTTATTTTTTATTTGATTCGATCACTGAAAGAGAATAAACTAAAAATATAATGTTACTTTTCCTTACTACATATTTTTAAAAATTATAAAAAAATGTTTTTTACGACATCATGAATTTTAAAATATTTTTTTTGTCCCTTGAAAATAGTCAGATCCTGCTTGAAAATTACATTTAAAAGTAACATGATATACAAATATTCTTGTTTCATCGAAAAGTACATCATTTTTAAAGAGAAAATTTTCAATTTTTCCCAAAAGAAACTACCAACTAGTTGTTTCAAATAATTAGGATTTTGGAGAAAACTGTTACTGACGCCATTTTTTACAAATATAATTTCAGTGATTCAATTAAGTTTTTAAAATTTAATTTGCATAAATAATTGAAGTATAAAATGTTAAAACTTGAATAATTAATTAAAATTTTAAAAAAGTACCCTATGAATTTTAGTAACAAAAAAACAAAACTCCAAGCACCAATTGAGGGAGCATGGAATTTGGAAATGAAATGAAAAATATCTGACCCCATTAAAGTTGCAAATAAAGCAAAATTAGAAACAGCACTGGCTCATACCTTCTTTCTCCTTTCTTTCACTCCCTGTTTATCTCTCTGTCTTATGGCCAACGAAAAATTACAAAAGCGTGACTGAATACACTTTAAATAACTTTCGTGTAAACAAATGAAAGAGAAATTTGGTATACTTTCAACAGCAGCGAATTGCTTCTTTC